GAAGCTCAGCCTTTTGCCTTTGTCAGGCCTGCTGGGCCTCTCCTGGGACCTGCAAGAGAGCTCAATGTGGAGCAGCTCTCACTGTGACCCCGACTGCTGGATTTTCCAAGCGGGCACCCAACACGCCAGTCCTCCACAGTTTTGCTAGAGTTAATTAAGCAGCAGCCTCTCCACCGCGTTGTTCCCCATGTATGCCCTGTTCTGAGCTGACTTGGTGAATATTGGCTCCCGTCTTGCTGAGCAGGGTGGTAACTTGTTTTTCTAGCACAGCAAATTAATCTCTTACCACGTCGGTGACAGTGTGGTGTGTGTATGCTCTCACAGGGCTCCAAAGGACCTATTTCACACCATTTCTGAAGGTATGATTTTTGTTTAAGTTGCCCAGTGTTGAGTCAGGCACCTGGGAGGAGCTGGGAAGAGGATCCTCTTGGTTTTGCCAGGAAATACAATGATGTCCCCAGCCTGTGGGACCCTGGCAAGGCTGTTGGTGTTCTAGTAAGGCAACTGAGCTCCTTCTGGTGTTGTGTTTCACGGGGCTGCAGTGCTTTTGGAAGGGGGCTTGGGAAAAGAGAAGGGTGAGATTTTTTCTGTTACTGGCAGATTTTCAAATGTATGTGTGCGGGAGCATCTGGTCTGCTGTAGGCTGTCATTCACAGGACAGGGAATGAGTGACAGCCCGGTTTAGGTGATGGGGCAATGGGGAGGACAAGGAAATGCACGTGCAGTGTCAAGCCTGTCCTGCCCCTGTTGTGTGACAGCAGAGCAGTTGCTCACATTAGCTGGTCTGGCTCACTTAGCAATGCTGACGCAGCAGGTGTCTTTATACCAGACCTATTGCAAGGGGAAATTGGCTTTACCCAAGGTCCATGAGTGCTGGGATGATGGTTACAGGGGCATTCAACGGCACTGTGTGCTCTTATTTAAATATCTGCTATGTAATTCACATGCAGGTTCTTAAAAGTAACTTCTCTCAGGTGAATGACATTCAGTTAACAAGTTTGTTTGAAAATCCCAAACAGAGAACTCAGGGATGGTTAACAATGTTAAGAGGCTTTTCTAGGACAAGCCAGTCAGTGCATGGGTCTCCTGTCCCTCTCTTGCTCACTCATGCCCTACAAGGGAGCAGGCAAGACTCCTCTGCCTTCATGATGTTATTGCAGGAGGATGTCAGGGTCTAGTTGGTAATGCCAAGATGTCCTTGGCTCACAGGTTCCCCCACCCTCACGAGAGCCCACTCTGCACAGTCAGAAAGGTGGTGTTCCCCTTGCTGATACGATGGTACCCTTGGCTCGATTACTATTACCTTTGCCCAAGACAGACATCCTTCAACGTCGCTGCTGTTGTGTGAGCTTGAGAGCATGCCCAAGGATCGTGTGAGGTTTTGGGCAGCTGTCTCTACCGGTGGCTTTGTACCTACTGGGTGAGCACAGTCACTATGGGCACTTGTGTCTATGGGCAAAATCTGTCTATGTTCTTTGCCTGGAGGTTTTGGGGTCTGCTGTTCCTGCTAGTGGAATAAGGCTCAGATTCATAAGGACAAATGTAAGAACTGGTCAGTACAGTAGGAGGTGGTCTTGTAAGGCCCCCTTCTAGGGAGAAGCTTCACTAGTCTAAAGACAGCATCTCATTGCAGGTTAGTAGTGAGTTAAATTTTTTGGACAGTCTTAAAGGCTCCTATTAGTCCCATTTTATTTTTCAGGAAGCAAATTATTAGGAAGTGTTTATTTAGACAAGGATTTAGGTCTCACTCTGTGGTGGGTTGACCCTGGCTGGATGCCAGGTGCCCACCAAAGCTGCTGTATCGCTCCCCTCCTCAGCTGGACAGGGGAGGGAAAATATAACAAAAGGCTTATGGGTCAAAGGTAAGGACAGGGAGATTACTCACCAATTACCATCCCAGGCAAAACAGACTTGACTTGGGGAAATTAGTCTAATTTATTACCAATCAAATCAGAGTACGTTAATAAATAAATAAACCCAAATCTTAAAAGCACCTTCCCCCAACCCATCCCTTCTTCCTGGGCTAAACTTTACTCATGATTTTTCTAAGTCCTCCCCCCTTGCGGAACAGAGGGATGGGGAATGGGGGTTGTAGTCAGTTCACCACACATTGTCTCTGCTGCTTCTTCCTCCTCAAGGAAAGGACTCCTCACATTCTTCCCCTGCTTTAGCATGGGGTCCCTTCCACAGGAGACAGTCCTCCACAAACTTCTCCAATGTGAGTCCTTCCCACGGGCAGTTTTTCATGAACTATTCCAGCATTGTTTCTTTCCATGGGGTACTGTCCTTCAGGAACAGACTCCAGCATGGTTGCCTGCAGGGTCACAAGTCCTGCCACCAAACCTGCTCCAGAGTGGGTTCCTCCCTCCACATGTCCGCAGGTCCCTCCAGGATCCTGCTCCATCAGTCTTCCCACAGGGTCACAGCCTCCTTTGGGCACATCCACTTGTTCCGGCATGGGGTCCTCCACAGGCTGCAGGTGAATATCTGCTCCACTGTCAACCTCCATGGGCTGCAGGGGGACAGCCTGCCTCACTACGGTCTTCACCACAGCTTTCAGAGGAATCTCTACACCACTGCCTGGAGCGCCTCCTCCCCTTCCTTCTTCACTGAACTTAGTGTCTGCAGAGTTTTTTCTCTCACTTATCATTGCCATTGCACATGTTTTATTTTTCCCCCTTCCTAAACACATTATCCCTGAGGCACTGACACCATCCCTGATGGGCTCAGCCTTGGACAGCAGCAGGTCTGTCTTGGAGCCAGCTGGCATTGGCTCAATCAGACATGGGAGACGCTTCTAGCATCTTCTCACAGAAGCCACCCCTGTACCCCTGTCACTATCAAAACCTTGCCACGCGAACCCAATACACACCCACAGAGGAGTATTTTTGCCAGTCACCTCCTGTTCATTGCTATTGCTTCATCTCCAGCAGTGGTGGTATGTACACCTGGTATGAACATCAACTTGTTCTGAGGTGAAGAAATCATCAATATTCATGGCTTCTGCACAGGAAGTTTGACTAAACTGATTTCTGCTTTAAAGCTTTTTTTGGGATGCATAACCCAGCAGCAATTTCTTGGAACAGTTCTTATACATATCTGCGCACTGTTTCTTGGCTGTGTGCTTCCCTGGCAAGATTAGTGTTTTAATCTCACCTTAAACAATCAAAAAGAAAGACAGCAAGTGCTATTCCCTACCAAAGCTTTATTGTGAATGGGTGTAAAGGCATGGATGGGAAGGGCTGCTCATACATGAGCTCCCTATCCCTTCTCCTTTCCAGCTGGATTCGGTCCTCTCCTGAAAAGGGTGATAAAGCTCTTAAGGTATCCTTATCCTGAGAGCACTGCGCGAATCCCTTCCTCCAGTGCTCATTTTGATTACTTAGACTAAGCAAGGATGAAGGGTTATGTCAAACTATAGTCCAACAGACCACTATTCATCTTGGAGCAAAGAAACACAGGCAGAAGCCCAAACTAAGCTGCTGCTCCTTCCTTGGACTGACAGGTTCTTTCCATGGGCAGATGACAAACTTTCCAGATCCCTTTCTCCAAATTTCCAGAGACCTTCTGTTGGGTCCTGTTACAGAGACCCATCAGGCTCTCACACCTGCCCAACAGATCAAAAAGTGGGCACCCCAATCCTGCTTTTCCTTGTCTCTCCTCATTTTCCCAGTTTCTCCTTTGCCTGATGTAGAACTCCTAGAGTCACTCTACAAACTACAGGTCCCTGAGCATCTTGCTGCCTGAACAGGTCTGCAAATGAGTAGCTATTTACTGCACGCACAGCTGAAAGGAAGGCACGAAAATCTCCTTATTGGATGAAGCTGCCTGCTAAGCCAATAGTTTCATGACTACTGGCCAGCACATTTCTCGTTACCCCATTAAGCAACTCAAGCTAGTGACATCCCAGACAGCTATGTCATCACAGCAACCCAATCAGTTGGGCGCTGATCCTGTAACTCTGCAAAGGGTTTTCTTTGGATCAAACCCCAAAAACCATATCCAGTGAACCAGACAGATTTGGCCCTTGGTAGTTCAATCTCATGGTTGCAGGGAAGAGCAGGATAAGGCTCAGGGAAAGGAAACAAATTTGGGAAGAGATCTGGAGCAGCTTCTGTAGGAGGGATGACTGGCTGAGCTAGGACTACCCATCGTGGGAAAGGGTGGCTGAGGGACATGAGAGATGTCTGACATGAGGACCGTCTGGAGAGAGTGAACAGAGAATGGCTCACCGCTATTCTCTTTCCAGTTCAGGATCTAAGCAGTGACAAATTAAACCACCATGTGAGAAGTCAGCTAACTAAAGGAGATAGTTCTTGTGTTGGGTGGGACAACTTCTTGGTAGAGGATACTGTGGAAGCTATCATCTGACAATGCTTAAAAAGGCAATTAGGTGAATAAATGGAAATAAAAAATCCACTGAGGCTCAAGAGAATCAAGTAAGGCCTTAGCTGCACACTGCAGGAGGCTGGAGGAATGTTTTGGGGGAAAGTATCATTGAGTGCTTACCCTGGTCTTATACTGTCTCCAAGCATCTGCTGTCAGGCATTGTCAGAAGGCGATAAGCGGAAGGGCAGGTATCTAGGAGGCAGCCAGTTCTGAAGCAGTGATATATGGAGGGCAGGGAAGCAGGCTGAAAAAAAATTGCAGGAAAGTCACACGTGCATCATATTTCTAGTGGCCTTTCATCTGGGAAGACCATAAGCTGCTTTGTGAATTGCTGTAGACAAAAGCAGGGCGATCCAGCAGATGCCTGTCTGTGTGGAAATGATGAAAATGGATTTGTGATATTGTGGTACTGATCCTGTGAGCACAGGCACAGGTAAATAACATTACTGACAAGTCCCTATAAGTGCAACAAGACTAATTCTGTACATATAGGTCTGAGCTGCAGTTCGTCTATGAATACAGACTTTTTCCTGCTTGGCTCATACAACGCAGAGAGGCAATCCTAGCAACACTGAGCCCTTCCTTCTCTATCTCTCTCAGAGGAACAAGACATGATACAGAAGAGCTCTGTTATACTCAACTTGCACAGCTTACAGATGCCCTTTTTCAATACCTGGAAATATGGGATCTTGGCATTAGCTATCCTCTTGCTCCTGGTGGCCTTGACCATCTTAACTTGCCAGATGCGTTGGCTCCAGAAACGCAGCAGGACTGGAAAAAGTAAGTATTGGGCAACAGTGCTCATCTGCCCCTGGGAGCCTGTGTTTCTGCTACCCTTCCCTCTCAACAAACATCTTCCACCCTGGACCAAACACAGGAACTGAACAATGTCCTCAGCTTTTATGCTTCCAGGTGCCACCACTTCTGTCATAGTCACTCTGTGGCAAGCTGTGTGTCCAAGGTTTCCATTACCTGATCCGAGACAGGTAAGGGAGCTGGTTCCTCTTGTTAAAATGAAGTTGGCTCTGTGTGCAAGAAGACAAGAGGTGGGAAACTGGGGCAGTTAACATCTCCTGGTTGTTACTTGCAACGGGAAGAAACAAGACACACATTACAGGATCCCTCAAACGTGTCCTGCCCATACAATTGTTGTAGCCTTGCTACAAGCCAGCTGCTTCTTCACCAGGCCAGACACATAAGCACAGCTCCAACCCAACTGTTATCTCATGCTCCGGGTGATGCCAGGCTCACCAACTCTTACTTTCTGTCCGCAGTTCTTCCCAGCCTCCTGTCACCCAGCCTCAGCAACCCCACTCTGCTTGGATGGCTTTTACAAAGGAAAAATAAACTAAAGTAAACTAAACTCGCTTTCCCATCTGCTGCTTCTTCTTCTTCTTTCCTTCTCATCTGTGCAAAGTCACAAGCCATGCTACTGAGTATGGGTAACTCCTCTTGTCCAGAAGAATCAGATCCAAGTGCCATCTGAGCACAGCTTGCTAGACTGCTCTGAGATACATTTTTACTGTAAGAAGGTCTCAAGGCTGTCCCAGAAAGTCTAAACCATATGGTATTCACACCAGGTGGTCAGTGTCAGCACCTGCATGATGGCAATGTTAATCCTGGACCCTTCAGCAGGTCCCACTAACACAGTCTTGCTGGTGACAACACTGTCCCTGCAGGAAGAGAGGTTGAGCAAAGCCATAAGATCTACTGTCCTCTTACCCATGCCCCAAGTGCTTGGGGAAGAAACACTTGCCACTGAACTGGGATCCTTCCCATCTAGACTAACCCTTCCCTCCAGTACAGACCTATGCACAAACTAAACCAAATAAAAGTGTAAGACTCTATGACAGCAATGTCTTCATCCACTACACTAATTTTGGGGGTACCCTCGCGAAACATTCTGCTTTCCAGAGACAGGATCCTCAGTGGTTTTTAAACTCTGGGCTCTCTAAAGGTTTTCACAAACTACCAAGTGAAAAATCCCACTCCAAGACTCTCATCATCATCTCGAAATGTCATCATCTCCAAGCTGGATAGCACTTGCTCAGCTTTTCTTTATTTCCACAGAGAAGAGATGCCACAGCCAAGGCTGGGTTAGGATAAAAGCAGAGAATGGCATTTGGGGGAAGAAAATGCCACCATTTCTGTATGATACCGCAAAACAGAGCAATGCAGATATCAAGGCAAGTACACCGATGCTAGGGTGAAATCAAGGGCCACCCTCATTTTCAGAAACTCCACAGAGTCAAGTGATGGACTGACTGACAGTCCGGTAGAAAACAAGACCCAAAAAGAAAGACAAGAAAACATACAAAGAGACTCTCTACCTGAAAGGAATGGAGGGAGAAGCAAAGTAGAATAGAATAGAATAGAATAGAATAGAATAGAATAGAATAGAATAGAATAGATATATAAAATAAAATATTGCTATTCCACTTAAACAGAAGCTCTTCACGTGTGGTAAGAGGGCCATGCATGCACCATGGCCACATGAAGCACTGATGCATCAGGTCAGCAGCCAGCCCCACTGCCATGATTTTACAGGTATTGCAGCCCAACCAAAGCACCTGTGCACTCTGTTCCCATCCTCCATTGCTCCTCAGCCTCCCAGGGGGTACTAGAAGCAGCCTGGGTAAGTTCTGGATGGCAAATTCAGATTTTGACCTCTCATAAATAGGGCTGCTGGGAAGGTTCAGCTCTTCAGGCCTCAAGCAAAATGTAGCAGATAGATAGGTATCACAGTGTGCGGCAGGGACCTTTGCTCCTGTTTCCAGGTGTGTTAAGGAGAGTTGCAGAGCTTATGAAGTCCATTGCTGAGGGAAGGAAAAACAGTGGCAGAGCAATCCCTGGGGAAACTGTTGCAAAAACTCCCCTCTCACTTGATCAAAAGTTGGAGTTCTACTTGCTTCTCTGTTACCTGTCTCTCAAATTTTTACTGAAAAAGAAGCAATTGCAAACCTTTTCCATCCCCTCTCCCTTCCCATGACTGAAGAGACCCAGTTTCCTCTCCACCTCCAGCCTATGTCTCTGTTACTGGATGTGGTTCCCAGTAAAATTAATTCCTCAAGTTCCTGGTGACCTTCCTGCAGCTGGCCAAAGCTTGCTCCGAGAGGAGGAAGCCCAGGAACGCAGCCCCACTGCGCAGTGGCCAGCTCAGCAACAGGAGAGAGGAGCCAGCACCAAAATACCTCTGGCAGCTGCTCAGTACAAAATGCCTATTAGAGGGTTGCAGCTGCTCCTCTCTAATTAAGAGAAAAACCCAGGCCGGAAAGAGAAGCATGGAGAGAGGTGGGGTGGAAAGGCTGAAGGAGAGCCTGTCCTGCATGACCAGGGGCGAGGAAAGCAGCTGCTTTGGTGTGCTGGCTCTCCCTCTTGCAGCACAGCTGTTGGGCTCTGCTGTGCATTTCACCCATTGTTCAGCCTGAGCTTACACGTGGCTCGCGAGTGAGGCCAGGCGCTTTCCAGCTCTTTCTTCCCCACAGTCTGAAGCAGGCCTAGACGCTTGTGCTGTGCCAGAGAGCTGATGTGCAAGGAGAGGGCAGCGCATGGGGCGCTGGTGGTACCACACAAGCCCTCAGGGTACCCCTGACTCTACTGCAAAGGCACCAGGTCTTAACACACCTTCTTCTCTTCCCACCATTGCAGGAACAGGAGGGAAGTTCAACACTACCAGACTGTAAAAGACCCATCTCTCTCTTTTCATCTTGTCCTCATTTTCTTTAGGTGGAGGTGTTATGAACTGAGCTGAACGAACCATACACCTGATCTCCAGCAGGACAGAGGACCTCAGCAGCATGGGCAGTGATTTGGGGCTCCTGCCCCGCTCCCGAGGCACACTGAAGTTCTCTCTCCTCTACTGCAGAGAGCGATGTGAGCTGCTTTTGACTGGCCTGGAGGCTTGGGGGCTGCCTAGCCATGGGTGTGCCGAGTCCGCTGTCTGGGTCTGACTACTGAGGCAGGTCCCGTCCCACATCCCTGGGCTCCAGTGCATGGTCCAGGAGTGGCAAAGCCGGGTGGTGAAGAACTGCAGCAGGCCAGCCTTTGGAGACCACTTTGTCTTTTCCCTGCAGGATGATGAAGTAGAGAAGAGCACCCTGAAGCTGGAGGTGAGATGGGGCACTAGCTCAGTAGACATAAAGGAGGGTGTCTTGACCAGAGAAGATATGTGTAATGGCTTCTGGAGACATCTCCTTCTCTTACCCCTCTGAGGAACATAGAGGGAGTTAGTCACCAGGTCCTCTCAGAGTACAGCCAGCCGGGAGGTTGGTCCTTTGGCAACACGAATAAGACCAGGGTTGCCAATCGTCATCATCAGCAGCCAGAATGGTCAGAAAGTCTAGAACCCCTAAAACACTTTAGCTTTCAAAGGGATGCCCTATTAATTTCTCAGGCATTTTATTTTTGGGGTCTGCAGTATTGATGTAGGGGGGTAATTGATTTCCCTGAAACTTGTGATTCTCAGTGTGCTGTGTTCTGCCATCCTTTACCGCAGGCATTCCCTGTGGAAACGTGCTTGGATGCACAGTCCTGCAGCAGGATGTGGCATAGAAACTGGGGCCTGGGGTAAATGAATGGCGCTGCAGTGGTTGAGCTGAGGGAAATCATACAGTGTGGGGAGAACAGAGCTGGCTCTAATGAAGATAATGTAGTGAGCAGAAGCAGCTTACAACTACTGTTAGCCTCTTTTCCCTAATTCTTTGTTACTCTTGCTTGGCTGCTTCTGACTTGTCTCATTCAGAGCTAGTTTGGGTCTAGTTCCAGATGTAACACTGCAGATGTACCTGTGAATGCCCAGGGATTTTAAATGTACACCATGCCTTGGCAACAGACAGCTGTGAGACATCCTCTAGACTGTGATGGATTTGAAATGTGTGTTGAGGGGACAGCAGTGAAGACATTATTGGTGAAATCCACAGCAGACAGGTAGTTTTTCAACCAACTATGCCCTGCGAATAATCTGCAGACATCATGATCTAGTAGTAAGAAAGGGCATGCAGCTGAATTCTTTGTACTTTTAATCCCTTGCCACATTATACCATGGTGCCCAGGAGCTCAGCTGGAGGCAGAGGGAAGTGGATCACCCAGAAATATGGAGTTGCACTAGCAGCAGGATAAAGATAAACCAGTACTGCAGAGTTGGTACAAATTCACCAGTCTTGAGGTGCTAGCTAGAGGTGCAATCAGCCAGGGATAGATGGCTTTGCTGGGGGCACATAGTCCTTTAATTGTCTCTGGCAGGTTTTGCTCCCTCCCAGGAGCAGCCAGCAATTGCCATTTCAAAAGACATCAGTGGACTAGGTGGCTTGTAGGTCTGAACCTGAATGGTGATTCCTACCTGTTGCTACAGATCTCATGTTCCTTGACGAGTGTCCAGTTGCACATTACTTCAAAGCCCGTTTGACTTGGCCATTAAGTTTTCCTGGTTTTGCAAGCAGCAAAGCAAGAAAGCTTAGGCCAGACGTGGGAAATTGCTGCATGCTGGAGAACCACATGGTGAAGAAACAGCTGTGGAGGGGGGACACAAAGAAGAGATTGAAGCCATGTGTAAGCACATGCACTGACGGCCCCAAGCTGCCATGAAGCAAGTGTGGGCAGCTGTCAGAGGACGTGCTCTTGTGCAAGGGGATACTAGCACCCTCCTGCTCCTCCAGCCAGCCCTGGCAGGGACCAAACCTTGCACAGAGCAGGGGCAGGACTCAGCAAGATCAGAGGGGCCATGGCCTTCACACAGCCTGTTCAAGCTGGTCTGAGAAAGGGGACGGGGCGAGATAATGCTACTTCGATGTTCCAGTAGGCAGATGTCCAAAAGCAGTATGGTGTTAGCAGAGGGTGGAAGCACAGCAGAAGAGTTTTTTCAGGTGATACCACTGAAAGAAAGCATCTGAATTTTACTCCTTGGCACGGGGCCTTCTTTGCTATCATGGCAGCCCAATCCTGACTCCCCCAAAAGCCAACGAGTGAGAACGGAAACACATGAAAACAGACCCTAAAGGCAGGTAACTCCCCTTGAGTGAGGTTCAGATGTGGTTCGTGTGGATGCACTTGTGGCTCAGCTCCATCGTGCACCTCACCCTCATGGACACACTTTTTCGCTCTCTCCCACAGGTTCAACGGTTCGACAAGTACTCCAGAAACACTGTGCTGGGGGAAGTCAGGATCATCCTGAGTGAATTAAAGGCCTCCCAAAGCTTGGTTTTATGTGAAGAGCTGCAGAAGACTACAAAGGTGATGACTCTATCACTAGCCTTGGACTTTGTGCCCACATGGTGGCCAGGGAGCTGCATATCAATACAGCCAGCCCTTCATTTTATTAATGAAAAAATCCCACCCTGCATCCTTGGGGCCATCTGTGTCGTATTCATGGTAGCAGATCCTTTCTGCTCCCAGCACACTTCTCAAGTAGGATCTGCAGGAAGACAGGGCTTTAGAGTTTGAAACTGCATCTTAAAGGTGAGATCTCCAAGGAAGGATGAAGGTATGTATATTGATGACCAAGTTTGTTGCAGCACCTTTTCCCTTCTCCACCCACAGAGACAAGACTTCACTGTGCATTACAATGGCGGCCATTTGGTTTGTTTAAAGAGACTGATGGCCCAAAATGAAGACATGTGACATGTTCAAATAAGGAATTAATAGCAATTTAAAAAATGTTAATGTATTTTAAGTGGCTGCTAATGACAGTATCGTATTTTGTAATAGAGGACAAAGTGGCATCTCAAGTCCATCAACCTGAACAATTTCTTTGTAAGAAACATCTATTCATTCCTTACACATGGGAAGTTGATGTAAAATGTGAGCAACATGAATTTAATTCCAGACCTAGCTCTCATAGTACCCTAACATGGCAAAGTCCACAGCCTGTAGGGTTTCCTGTGGCCCTCTGGAAAAAAAAAATACCACGATGTTATAAGACCTAGTACTTTACTACCATAAATTAGCACAGATGCACGTGGATGTAGTCTGTACTGTACTACCTCATGCAGTCATTTTTGATGGGACTCAAAACTCAGAAGACACCCTTACATTCAGGTTATCTGGACACAGGAGAACAGGGGGTCTTCCATTCCTCCCTAGGAGAAAGGGAAACTGCCCCGCTGAACAAATGAAGAGCAGATGATAGCAATTGTTAAAAAGTTAAAAAAGCTAAAATTCAGTCTCAAGAAAGACAATGAAGGGCACGATATGGCCAGCATGCTGCAGTGGCCCTGCATTCTCTGTTGCTGAGGCCCCAAGAGCACACTCATGAGCTGCAGGAAGGCTGACATGTGGCCTTGTTGGCTGCAGAGGTTGTTGCACTGGATGTCAGCTCACCCCATGCCCATATGCTTTTCACAGGACATTGGGGGAGAAGTACTTGTGTCACTGAAGTGCCTTCCCATCTCTCAGAGGATAGAGGGTGGGCTGCTCAAGGCAAAAACTACATCCCCTTGAAGCACTGCAGATAAAAGTAAGGGGTTTATATCTGCTATTCTTGCTGCTCCATTCCTTATTCTGCTGCCTGCTACCTTCATCTTACCCACCCAGAGAGATGAGGAGGTGTTGGGGAGAAGATCCCTTGCATGCCGATCACACCCCAACAAGTGCTGCTGAATCAGACGGTGTCTGTCTAGCCTAGTGACTGTCTCTGACAGAGGACAAAGTAGTATGGGAATAAGACAGGCATAAGTGATACTCCCCCTCTGTAGTCACCCTGCCTCTTCCAATTCACGGCTTAGAGCTAGTGTTGGTTTCTGTGTATTTAGAAATCCCTGATGAATTTCTTCTCCCTGCACTCCTTCGGTCTTCCCTTGAGCCCATACTAACATCTAGCATCCACAGCACCCTGTGGTAGCGTCTTCCACACAAAACTACACTTCTGTGAAGAACCACCTTCCTTTAGTAGCGTTGACCTTGCTGCCTCCATTTGCTGCTCACAAGAAAGTCGCCACACTGCTATGAGCTGGTACACAGCCCCCAGCTCATTTCAGCAAGGTGGCCATCTGATGTTAGATCCTATGAGTTTTGACATGGAAGCTGCTGTTGTTTGCTCATCACACTAATGAAATGCCCAGCTACTTCTCTCAGGCAATGCCTTCTACTCCTCTTCCCTCTGTCACAAGACTTGAATCCCCTTTCTCTGCTCTGCAGAGACCTGAAGACCAAACTTCATCACAGTCCTGTTGCCCTCATTATAGAGCCAATTTGTTTTTCCTCTTGAAGATACCCTGGGGTAGGGGCAGTGCAGAGATCCTGCAGTGCTCCTTGGGGTTGTAACCGGAGCATCACTATCATCCTTCAGTCTCCACTGAGTGGAGATAAGATAGTGCTCTGAGGCCATGGACACTTGAGAGCAGCCTTAGAGATGCTCTGCATTGCAGATAAGCTGTAGACAGCTACCTACCCTAAGAAGGCTGAGGTAGAACCCCCTTTTTCTCCTGTAACCCAACATTTGATGCACAATGCAACAATACTTCAAAGTCTGGGCCCTTGTCTTATGTGGGTTTCTCCCCTGCACCATCCAGCTAGATGGAGGAAAGAAGGGAGGGGAAGAGCCGGCCATTTTCCTTCTGTAGTGCTCAGCACATAAACAGTGAGAAGGTAGGCAGCCCTTTCGCTTGCCTCACTTTATGTCCTGCTCTCCCTCTTGGTTGTATGTCCAAGGTTTCTCCTTGGGACTGGGAGAAGCACAGCAGACTTTGAATTCTTGAGCTGGTCTCTCCTGGGCTGAACTCTTCCCACAGCCTTAAATGCTCAAAAGATCTGCTTATCTGTACCTCTAAAGCCACTGTTTTCCATTTCAGTAATTAAATACAGGCAAAGCAATTGCAAAGGCTTGTCTCTGTTTTTTCTTTCTGAGCTTTGCTGCAGGTGTTGGATTTAGCATAAGCACTTACAGGGGGGCTAACAGGAGTAAATCCTTTCCTCCATCACCCTGTTTCTACTAACTTCAGAGCTTGTTCCATAACTACAGAGACTACGCTCAGGTAGTCCTTGTTAAATCACGCTCTATTGTTATAGGATGGTGAGATCCTATTAGCTATGTACCTACCAAGATGTGATTGCTTTGGCCAAGTGGTCTGTTTTCCAGCAGTACTGAAGCTAGCATAAACTTTGTTACTAACTTTGGAAAGTGTGGGATCAAACCTGAACAGTTCCAATATTCAGCTGTAATCCAGCCCTTTTCTGGCATGACTACCTTATGCAGTATTATGTCTGTATTTGAAATGCCCGGCTCTGGGACAGGGATAGATACCCCAAAGTTTCATTTCTCCTTTCTCTTCCCCATCTCAGATGTATATGCGAGATGTATATGTTTCCTGCAGTCACCACAGAAAAAAGCACCAGAAGTCCAGTCCATGGGCCCACACCCCGCTCATCATCTTCAATGAGACTTTCCTCTTCCACATGCCTGAGCCTCCAGCGTGGGACTGTGTGGTCCTGGTCTCCATTTATTAAATGGACTCAGACTCCAGGCATCTCATTGGACAGGCCACCCTGGGGAAGAGAAGAGCGAGCGAAGCAGCTGACCATTGGGACCTCGTGATAAAGTCCATCCAGCAGCCTGTAGCTAAATGGCATCCTCTGTTCATTTAGAAGGGAGGTCTTCTGCAGCAGTTGCGTGTGGTGAATCTGGCCAGGTTTTCTTTCACAAAGACAAGCCAAGGCAGCGCTCACAGGGGCTATATCTAAAAAAAGATGGATCAGAGCCTGAAATTCATGCTCCCTAAGACATGAACAGAGGTAACAATCTTTTGGCTTTATCCCACTCTTTGCTGCTGCTTCATCTTTGCTGATCCCATGTCATCTTTATGATAGCAGCAGGGTTTCAGTAGTCCCTTGATCTGGAGAAGGTTTGTACCTATAGAAGGAAATAGAGCCTGACCTGCATAGTATGAGTGCTCACTATGAATAGACAAGAGGAAAAAGGGATGGGAAGGAGGAGGAATCAATGATCCAATGATCTATTAATAAGATAGATAGAAAAGCACTAAAAGGTTAGTTGATTTGCCTAAGCTCAAATGAGAAATGTAGCCAGGAGTTGAATTTGTATTGAGATCCTCTCCAGCACCCCAGAAAGCCATCACCATTTTTCATTTAGTAGCCTTCCAGGCTTGGCTTATTAGGACTTCCAAGTTTTTTACAGAAAGAGTGAAAAAAGAGGCCCTGGGGCTATTGGAGTGAAACTGCCTTGGTGTGAGCACCACTGTGCTTGCACAGGACAGGTTGCTAATGGGAAAGTACCACCCATCTCTACTCTGAGACAACAGCCAGAGGCTTTCATTAGCAGTACAGCCATCCCAAAACAGAACACGGAGACCTCTCCCCACACTATGGGCACGAGGGTGATGCATCTTCTCTGACCTCCGTGCAGAGGCAATTTCTCGTGCCGCTTGGGAAGAGACATCTCCCTCCAGGGAAGGATGCAGCTCCCTGCACCCAGGAGGGTGGCTGCTACCCTGGAAGGGCAAGCACCCAGCAGCACTGCCAAGGTGACCATGGCTGCAGAGCTCTGTCCCGGCTCCATGTCCAGACACAGGGAACACAAAAGTGACACACATCAGCTGTGTGCCTGCCTTTGCTGCAGGAACCTCTGATGGAGGCTGGAGAAGGGCTGGAGCTGCAGCTGCCTCCCCAGCCTCCTCCTCTCCACTCCAGCTGGGTCTAACGCCCCAAGCATGTCCTGCACCCTGAAATGGGGAGTTTAGTATATACCTGCTGGCATTTTTACTGCCATTAATGCTAATGAATCTGGATATTCTTGCTGTCCATATCCATTTAGTCTTTTTCTGAATCTTGATGTATTTTGGCCTTTGGGAATTACTGGGGCATATTCATTGCATGTCACAGGGGAAAATAAATTAAAGAAAAAAAGATTTTTCACAGCTTAAAATTTCCTTTCACCTGTGTCCCTGTCCTGGTCTGATAAGAGAGACCCATTTGTCATTTCCTATACTCCCAGCATGTCTTCTGACTAATTTCCCAGGCTTTCAAAGTGGCAAATTCCCCCACAATAGAGCCATCTTCTGCCTTGCCTACAGGCAGTATGGGTTAGAACTCCAGTTTTCTTTTGTTTTACATTTTTTCTTAGTGGCACTGCTTAAAAATCCTGCTCCCCTGCCCCAGTCACAAGACATGCAAGGTCTCACCTTCTGAGAAATCTGTTAAATGCATGGATGGGTTTTGCATAGAGTATGACCAAAAAAAAGATTTATGTCTCAAAGGCTTATGTTGGTGTGGGAAGCAAGTGAAAGGAGGCCAGCAGAAAAGGGGAGGGAGGAGGAGGTGCTGGTGTTGAAATGTGTGCTCCTGCAGCCATCCCCACCTTTGCACAGCTCCGCTCATGTTTGCTTGCCCTACAAAATGCCTTGGGTTGCAACACAGATCTGACTCCCTGGTCCTGTGAAAGTAGGAAGGATGAAGCTTGGAGGACAAACGCTGGAGGAAGGCTGCGACACATGGCAGGCTGGCGGTGATGTTTGAGTTTGGATGAGGTGTCCCAGAGACACCTGTAGTCAACTATCCAAGGTTCAAAGCCCAGGCAGGGCGGTGGGAGCAGATGACAACTCAGGGGTGCTTGCTGGAGATGGACAAGATGGTGGGTCCTGGGTGGTGAAAGCTCTCCAGGTAAACAGCATCGCAGAGCTGCAAGGTGATAACAGAAAGGAGTCACTGCTTTTCTCATTCTCTGTCCTCCTCTCCTTGCAAAGGCCAAGCACGGTTCTGTTACCTGAAAAAGAGGTCTAAGTCCCAATTCTCCTGAAACACAGAGAGTGTTTAGAGATGAGACATTGCTTTACTCTGGCCTGGGTGCACAGTGGAATATTTCCACAAATCATGCGCACCCCATGCTGGTTTTCTCATCATATTTACACACAAAAGTTACAAGGTAGCACACTCCCCGTTACAATGATTGGTTGGTAGTTTACATATGATTATAATACTTGTTATGTCATTCTCCTCAGTTACTGCGCATGTGCAATGGAAGGGTCTCCAACTGGGCAAGGGTCTTCTTGGCCTATGGGCGTGATTTTTAGTATTATAATGAATGTAGTTCAATTTAGGACACCCAGAATTTTCATTTTTCTGCCAAGTTGGCTAGGCCTTTCAACACATGGCATGGTACGTAGTAGCATCCTCAAGGTTCGTATGCTCATGTGCTCCAGGATGTTTTACTTCAAAGAAAGACAACAATACTTGCTTTCCTTGATTAGGTGTTCTTTCTTATACGACTCAACGATAGAATCCTCATTACCCATGAAAATGTCTCAGAAAGTTCTTCTCCTAATTAGCCCAGATACTTGTGAAGAAACATTCCCAAGGCCAACCATCTGGTTAAGTATGTAACAAAATGGTCGTACACAAAACCCTGTATCAGAAGTTCAGCTAATAGTTAACAGGCCTAATTAACTTTAATGCTAACAACTTTAAAGCCAACAACTTTAATGCTAATGAAAATGGCTAAAAAGCTATTTACAAGACAACAGTTTGGTTGGCTTTGGGGTCTCCTTTCTCTCATCCATGACCATCTTCAGCCCTTCCAGGCTTTGATCTCCAAAGTTGTGCAGACACAGCAGCAGCAGCATCCCTTTTCTGACACAGGACGCCTGTTGCCCTGACTCTGAGGTAGAGGCTTTCTCTGGACTCTTTGGAGACCCGCCGCTGACTCATGTCTTCCACAGTTGACAATTTTCCTCTCCCAAACACCGTATGTTGAATCGCACTTGAAGTCAATCAGGCCCTTCACTCTGCTGCCTTTGCATGAGAGCACGGGGGCAACAGATCTGACTCCGGTTGGAGCCAAGCAATGCTGAGTTGAGGAAGAAAGGTGGTTTCCAAATAAATATATATTATTTACATAAAAAATATATATTATAATATATATTAATAAATAAATAAGAACAACATATTTAAATAAGTAAATATGTACAGGGGTAAAGACAGGTGGGCAAATAGCTCTGTAAATCCTGCCAGAAAAATATCTCCGGAGCTAAGTGCTATGAAACCACAGACCCATAACCTTCACTTCTTTTTCATGCAGATTTCCCCATCTCAAGGCAAACGAGGAGGAGAAAACAGCCTTTGGGTTACAGGTGAACATGCTGCTCAGGAGACAGTTATTCCACCCTCAATATAATGAGTCAGTGTGTTTATACAGTTAAACTATTAATATAACTTTACTCCTCAAACTCTCAAAGCTTCTCTAATTAACCTCCAGCAACTTTAGGTTTGGAACTATTAACATGAATTCGAGATTCATTTCCGTGCAATTGCTTGTCCCGGTTGTTGGCAATGTTCAACTGGTTTGGGTGTGCCTGAGATATCTCTGAAAGTTAACTGCAGGCTCAAGTCCCCACACAGCTTCCCCTGCCTACCTGTAGTAACTACAGGTGATGGTGTTCTTGGGATGGTAAAGCACAGCGCCCTGCTGAAGTAGCAGATAAAAGTTTCAGTCACCCACCGGAGAGTCCCAGGAAACATGCAGTGGCTGGGAACAGCCTGAAGGCAGCCCAGATACAGAATAGAAATGCAAAGGCTCTTGCATTTGATCTGGGTGACTTCAGTGAGAGGTCTTAATTAATTACCTGGGATTATTCCTTTTTTTCTCCAGGGTTTGTGAGGTCCTCTCCTGGCTTTGCAGTGCCAGGCTGTCATGCAGGTACCAGCAGATTTGCATCAAATCAATGAGCATCTGCTTTGCTGGAGCCAGGCAGGTTTAGTGCAGCACAGGATCTGGCCCAGAGGGCTTGGTGCAAGTTCAGCCTGGGACCAGCAGCAGCCCCCAGCATCACTGGGGTTTCTCTCCACGGGCATCATGCACTGCAACAAGTGCTCCCCTACACATGGCTAGGATGGAGGGAGTGAAGAAGGGGGATTTCTCTCCTTGAGCCCAGAGGAGTTTGCACTTAAGGACAGCCATGTCAGGTATGTGGTTGTGGGCACAGAGCTGCAGTTCACTTGTGTTGCACAGTGGAGTGGGAGGGGACGGATAGAGAATCAGGATGTGGTCCTCCCTGCCATGTGTAGCTCCTGCACTGCCTGTGGGACAATGCTTTGCTTTTCTGTTATAAACAGGCCTGGAGGCACCTTCTTTAGTTAATGTTTGGGTAGCCCTAGCAAAACACCTTGTAAATGGACTTGAAGCAACACATCCAGTTCAGGCACACTTAGATACCAAAGTACTCAGGTCCCATTTGGTCTACACTCAGAGCCGGACATGTTAGACCTCCCCAGACTATGGCTGATCTTAGATTCAGCTCTGGAGACAAATTCCGGGGCCCAAGCAGTTCAGCATTTATTTTTAAGTCAAGTCTGCTAAGCCACAGTTTCCAGTGCTATGCTGCCATTCAGCCGGTGGGAAGGACTCTGAAGGAAGTCAGGCTGTGCCACTGAACACTTCGGGAGCTCTGGCATCCAAGTCTTGGTCTCATCCAGGAGAGTCTGCAACCAAGACTTGGCTCGTGGGAGCAAAAATTCAGATGATCATGAGTTCTCCCCCCTTGAACAGTACCTTCCTTCAACCACTGGCCAGGCAAAAATAATTTCAGAGGTGCTAGCAGCCAGCCCCAGGCACACATGTGCAGGGCTGAGTGGCC